TTACATTTGCTGGAGGTCAGGTCCATGCCCCCCTCCTCTATTTGTTTACCTGCTTTTCATTATATAAAATAAACCACACTAGTTGTATTTGCTTAAAAAAAAAATTTCATCCTCTCTCTAGCCCAAAACGCTCTCCCTTCTCTCTAGAATGGGAGACAAAGCACAGACCTTCAAAAATCTCAACCCACCACCCGATATTCCACCTTTACCCGGTGGATTTCAACCCCAAACAACACCAGATCAACAACAAAATCAAAATATTACTGTTTTGGAAGCAATTGGATTGAATTCTAATAAGAACAATGATGGCACGTTTCCCAATGTCACCAAAACTTCATCTCCTATAGTGATTCAGGATCTGGAACCATCACCAATGATTCCAGAAGGGCCAAAAACCCTAGGGGTGGTGGAGATTGCATCTGAATAGCCCGAAATTGGCAGATCGAATCCCGAGGGGCCGATTTCTGATTTTTCAATTAAACCCTCCATGGAGCTCAGACACATGCACGCGCCATATCATCTGATTACCCATGAGAAGGAGAACCTTCGTCTACAAAATGGTCCAATTCCGACGTCGGACGCGTCCTCACCGGCGATCGTAAGTTACGGCCAGCCGCTCGGAAAATCGCAGATTCCGGCCAATCCTGAACTCGTTTCAGAAAAAAGAACATACCGTGATGATCAACATGAAATTTTGCATCTACCTGTGAAAAATCATAATTTTCTGACACCATTGGAAAATCACCGCGGGTCAACGGCCAGCGCGTGGTGGTCATGCGCCGGTGACACTTCAGCAGAATGTGGGGAATTTTGTTACGGACCCAATTCCATCATCGGATTTACCACGGGAAGTCCCTACAGTAATTAATCAAGCTAGGAAGTCATATGCGGCTGCACTTTCCGGTAAATCTGTAGTCTCTCAAGCTGAGCGCAGCCAACGGAAGTCTTTTGCACAAGTTTTGCAAGCCCCACCGGACTCCAATGACCACAGGTTCACCTCTAAGGAACCTTTCATGCATATGGGAGAGCCGGCAGTTGCCTTTATCGAGGAAGAAGAGGACTTTCTTTCTGAACCGTATAAATTTACTCTTGTTGGCAAATTCTCACGTCGCAAGCCCTCCATGATTAAGGTACGTGATAGCTTTCAAAAATTTTGTTTTTGTGGTGATTATATGATTGAACTTATTGATGTGACTCATATTCTAATACACTTGGCACATGAGGATGATTACTCACGCCTATTTCTCAAGCCCTCTTGGTACATTGATGGTTGTCTCATGCGTGTTTTTAAGTGGACGCCCAGCTTTAATCCTAAGCATGAGACTCCTATTGTCCCTGTTTGGGTTTCATTCCCATTTTAGCCCATTCACTTTCGAGCAAAGAGTAGTTTGTTTGTCCTGGCTAAGGCCATTGGAATCCCACTACGTATTGATGAGGCCACTTCAGATTTACGACGACCCAGTGAGGCACGGGTATGCATTGAGGTTAATTAGGAGTATAAGCTTCCAGATAGGATTTGGATTCAGACTGAAAAGTGTGGAGGATATTGGCAAACAGTTTTGTATGAGAAGAAGCCAGATTACTGTTTTCGGTGCAGACATTTTGGTCATACTGAGGAGCATTGCCGCCCTGCACCACCACCTGCTCTAGTTGTTGACCCTGTTCTTAAGCCTACTATAGAGATGGCCAAGGATAAGGGTAAAGGAAAGGAGGTCGTTGTTGAGCCTCCTAAACGATGGATTCCAGTTCAGAGAGATCAGAAGAGGCAACACGATGCCAACACATCTGGAGTTTAGATTCCGCTTTCTGTGTCCACTGTCATCACATCAGGCCCATTACCTACTAGCACTAGCTCACATGCTCAGACCCAGCCATCTGTTCCTCCAGTTGCTCCTCCCTCTGCTACAGCCTTACAAGTTATCAGTGTTGTAGATCCAGTTACATCTACCACTCCTTCAGCTCCTGCTCAAGCTATCAGTCCACCTATCACTCCATTTTATGATCCTATGTTGGATGAGTTGTTGAAGAGGCCACAAACACAGAATTCTACAGCAGACACAGTCAGCAGAGCTTCTTACATTCCAGGCCTGACACCAGATAGGGCTCAGGCACCTATTTCCACTTCTTCTCCTCCTGTTTGTCATCAAAATGTGGAGGCATCTATTCCATCTTTGCAGTCAGTGCATTCAGATACAGAGGGCTCACCTCAAATTGACGTTCACCAGCAGGGACCTTTTCGAAGATCTTCTTCTGATGACTTGGTGGGTTTGGATGAGAGGACAGAGGATGATGGATTTATCCCAGTTGTTCGGAAGAGACACCCACGGGCTACTGATGCTCCACATCCGAGTAGAAGGATCACTCGGAGTCAGTCACATGATACCTCCTCACATTCTCCTTCCCTATGAATGCCATCATTTGGAATGTGAGAGGTATAGCTAGTGTAGCTACTCGTAGGTGCCTGAAGAAACTTATACAGCTTTCATCAGGTTTATCTTCTAGTTCTATTGGAGCCTTTTGTTCTGCGATAGAATTTTGCATATACACGATGTTATCTGCGCTTCGACATGGGAGCTCAGAATGAATCGAATAAGATCTGGTTTTTCTGGAATTCGGGGACTAATGTTGCTGTTATTGTTGATCATCCCCAGTTTCTTCACGTTAGAGTTGAGGATCCCAGACTAGCGCGTGCTATCTATTTGACTCCAGTCTATGCGTCATGCGATGCTACTATCAGGAGAGATTTGTGGGCGGGTCTTCACCACATCTCCCTCAATATGGACGATCCTTGGCTAGTTGGAGGAGACTTTAATGTTATTACACATGATGGAGAGCGCACTGGTCATAATACCCGTAATCGTGGCACTACTGCTTTCTCTGATATGATGTTAGACTGTGGTTTAGAGAATGCGGGTTTCATTGGAAACCGATATACTTGGACCAATGGTTGGGTTAGAAAGAGATTAGATAGGGTACTTATTAATTCTACAGCTGCAGCTTTTTGTCGACAGCTTACAGTGAGACACTTGAATCGGACTTCATCCGATCACTCTCCGTTACTGCTTCAGTGGGTTTCTGATGATGATTTGGGGCCTAGACCGTTCAGATTTCTCAATGTTTGGACCAAGCACCATGATTTTTTAGCCTTTGTCTCCCAGAAGTGGTCGCTCCCTACTCATCTCACAGGGATGACCGCTCTTTGGGAGAAGTTCTTCAAGCTGAAACAGGGTCCGCGCTGGTGGAACAGACATGTATTTGGAGATATTTTCCAGCGGGTGCGCGATACTGAGGTCGGGATTGATGAGGCTGAGATAATATATGATAGAGATCCTACACCGGAGAACCGTAACATACTACATCAGGCCCAGGCAGTTTTAAATCGGACATTGTCTATTGAGGAGGGCTTTTGGAAGCAAAAGGCCGGTTCACGTTGGGCATGTGAGGGTGATCACAATACTCGATATTTTCATGCGATGGTTCAGGGGTGTAGGATCAAATCACGTATCAGGTCTATCAGGACAAAGGCGGGGGAAGTGTTATCTACTCCAACTGATATTCAGACCTCGGCTGTTGCTTTCTACCAGGATCTCTTATCTACTCCTCCACAACCCTTGGACCACATCCGTTCTGA